CTCTGTTGGGTGTTTTGTTGGTTTAATCTCCATCTCTGCTGATAAAAGTTGAATTAGAGTGGCTGATTCCTGTTTATGACCCTGTCTGCTTTTATGTGCCCAGCTGCCACATAAAGATAGCAGAGTGTAGATGAGGGGAACGTAGAGGTCCTCTTAAAGATATTCTCATGACGACTGTGTGTGAAGGCAAAGCCTCGCTCCCTCCCGCTGGCCCTCTTGATTATTGTGCCATTTCACCCCATGCCTCAGCTGAATCCTTGGGAGACATCAGGACTCTTATCTCACACATCACTGCTCTGACTCTATCCCTGCTTCCCCTCACACTGGAAATAAGCTTCTACACTGTGCAAGTGTGTACATGTGCATGCATCGTTTTTTTTTTCTGGAAGCTAATTTGAATAACAAAAACAGGAATGTGGATTGATCGTCCTCTCCCAGTGGCATAGTGGTGGGAAGGAAAGTTGTGCCATGTGTTTCTGAAAGAGCACACGCAGCTTTATTCATCCAGATGTGTTTGGCAATAAAACCCCCATGTCCTTTGTTTGTTCAAGGCCCTCTGTGTTTTTCAATCATTTTGTATATTTTAGGAACACATTTTATAAGATCTCACTGCCAAAGAGAACTTTTCAGCAGTTAGTTGTAGTGTTATATGGGAACCACTGTTTAAAACCTGGACATCATTTCATTTCTCTAATAATTCAGTCATTCAATAGGTAATTTATCAGCAAATACTGGAAATAATAAAACCTTGTTATTTTGGAGATGTTTGTTTATAGAAGCCTTTTTTTAAAAGTCCTTCAGCTTCATCCAAGTTGACGTTTGGACTTTGACAGAACCATTGCAACACTTTAGATCTTTTGATTTTCTTTTGTATGTTTCTGTCCAAATTTTGTCAAACCATAAGACTCGTGATGTCTGACAACTGGTGGGGGTCGCTTTATAGGTGCAGGCAGTTTGGACCGGGGGGGGCAGGGTAAAAGGGCAGCGAGCTACGGGCGCAAGAAGTTGGGTCGGCTCGGCGTGGCTCCGGCGCTTTCAGACGATGTCCTGGTGACGGAGGAGCACGCCGGGCCTCTCAGTGTCCGCACCTCGCAAGTCCCTATACCGCGGACCCGCCAGCTGTCCACAGCTTAGTCACCATGGCCCACCCTGTCGAGGGTGGGGGTCGCTTTATAGGCGCAGGCTGTTTCAGAACCGGCGGGGCGCACAGGGTAAAGGGGCAGCGAGCTACGGGCGCACGGAGTTTGGTCGGCTCGGCGTGGCTCCGGCACTTTCGGACAACGGCTGGGGTGTCGGGGAGGCTGGGATGCGGGACACACACTGCAGTTGTCCCGACTCCCCTGCCGTTGTCCGAAAGCGCCACGACTCAGACGATGTCAGACAACTGAGACCTGATGCCTGACAACTGAGACCTGAGGATATTTCCTGATGCAGTTTTTCCTGAAACCTGACACTTTTCCCCCATGGTCTGAAGTCTGACACCTGAGGATGTCCTAAAATGTACGCCATACATCAGGCAGTAATCATTGTTAAATTCATAATTATTCTCGGAGAGAGACCAACTCTTATCTGCCCCTGGAAGCCCCGTAATGCATAGCGTCATTTCATTATGGGGTGTCCGTTACACAGTTTATATGCAGGCAGCAGCGCTGCGGCTGCTTAATATAGCAACTAGTTGCATTCTCCCTCAACCCAAATCCTCAGATCATGCATTTTAGCTAAATCGCTAATGGTAACTTGCCTTGCATTGACTGTAGAGTTGTGGGTGACGATCATGCAGATGTGTCATGAGATTTGAAGCATTGCTGCCTTTCACAGACACTTTTTCTGCACGTGCTGCAAACAGGATAGCCATCTTCTATCAACTGTCCCTCGGCATTCTTCAAATATCAAAAAAATGCCCGTACTTCCCACTTTGTCTTCTTTGAGGGATAATAAATGTCCTCCTGAGTGCTGCCGTCTCCTCCTTTGGCCATTATTTCAGCTTTAAGCTGGGCGTACACTGCGACGTTTTAAATTTTTTGAGCCAATTTTCCACTCGTGCGAGAATCCACAAGATCAGGGCGAGTTTTGCGCTGAGCGTCGTGTAGTGTACAGGGGGTTACGAGAGGCGATTAACACTCTGTGACCAGCTACCGTTCAGCAATCATGAGCTCGCACGGACTTCCGGCGTGTTTGATATTTTGCTCGTCCCTCGTGAGGGTATCGCACTGTTGTAGCGGTGCTGCGAGCAGCTGCGACCCAAAAAGTATCAGAACCGCTCACGGCGCATGCGCAATCATGCATCAACACCGCTCGCCCGCTATTTCCCTAATAACACATGTTTGTTTTTATTCCTACAGGGTTTTTTACTCAAAAAGATTGTCAAGAAAGTGTGTTTGTTGTGTTCATGTCAAATTAAACTGATCACAAAACACAGATTTACTTTCTTTATTTCGTTTTCCTCATCCAACCCCCATAAATCCCTGTGTGTCTCCCTGCAGCACTCCCGAAGGACAACGGGCAAGACAAAAAAGTCTGACGTGTTGTGTAAAAACTGCTATTTTTAGCAAATTTTTTAGGGCCGACGTGTTGCTACCAGACGTACAGTGTGAGCAGTCAGGTCGCATCCGAGAACTGGGTCGTACAATGTGAGCACATGACTCGTGAGATCTGCCCTGCGAGGAAGTCGTACAGTTTGAGCTGAAGTTGAGTGCTACGAGTGAAAAAGTCGCACAGTGTCCGCCCAGCTTTAGCTTCAAGAAAGTTTTGGTTGTAAACAACAAAGTGCGCATGTGCCGGCAACTTCAGCAGATGATACGGTGGCTGGTAAGGGTCACCACGTCTACACCGCAGCCACGGTAATCCACTGAGATAATATCTTTTTTAGAAAACAAGACGGTTGTTATTATTATCAACTTTTTTACCAGGGTTTACCGCTACACCAGTTACCGTGACAACCCTAGTCACCATCTAATGCAAATATATCTGAAAGAAAACCAAGTTGCACGTGTGTTGAAAATGTATACTCTGCAATAAACTGAATCCATTTCCAACAGTTCTGTAGGATATAATTGGTGCCA